CTGAAGAAGGAAGAAGACAGACGCAAGGCCCAGCTCCGAGCTGCCCATGCTATCACCAAGGGCTTGGAGAAGGAGAAGTTCCAACTCCTCAAGGAGAAGGACGACATGCTCCAGGTGCTTGAAGCAAAGGAGGAGGAGCTGAAGCATGCGACTGCCGAGCTGGAGACGGTGAAGGAGCGTCTCAGCAATGAAGCCCTATTGGAGGAATCGTTTAGGCAACATCCTGACTTCGATGGATTTGCCAAAGACTTATCTGACGCGGGCTTCAAGTTTCTCATGAAGGGCATTGCTTCCGACATGCCTGACCTTCAGATCGATCTCTGTGGTCTGAAGAAGAGGTATGCTGTGCAGTGGGCGTCTGGGCCTAGCGACACCCCTGGCCCCCAAGCGTTGGTGGATAAGTACGTCAGAGATCTGGACTCTGACTACTCCAACCTCGAAGAGGATCAAGTCGGCACCACTCAAGAGGGCGCTCCTCAAGCAGGCTCTTAGGCGACCACCCTTCAAGAGGCTTTTCGCTATCTTTCTTCTCTTCTCTTTTGTTTTTTGTTTGTAAGTGCCAGGGCAGAGCTGCAAGGTCTATAAGCCTTGGCTTTGCTCTCCGTTCAATAAAGAAGCTCTCATTTGTTTTTACTTGGCAACATCTCTCCTTTCTTTGCTTTTTCTTTGAACTGCAGCCAATGTCACCTCGCACCTCTTACTTTTGAGGTCGCGCCTTCAATTAAAATAATTTGAAAGTTTGAATTTGAATCTCAGTCTAGCATTCAATGCATTGCACCAATTCTGGATTTTTTAACATCGCACCCTTAACTTAAAAACGTTAAAAGGCTAAAATCCTAAGTTCGTAGCTGTTCTTCATATCGTACATCGCACCCTCAGGTTCAGAGGCTTGATCATTTTGAACTTTTCACATTGTCCCTTTACCTTGAAGGTTTGAATTTTAAGTTCATCAGTGGTTTTAGCATCGCACCTCGTACCCTTAAGTTTTGGAGAATTGAATTTTAACCGACTGCTGGAATGTGATCGCGTGGGAGTCCGTAGCCCCCATTTAATTTCTGGTCGAACTCAGAATCATGAAATTAAATCATCACATTTGTTCCGATCATAATTCTTTTGAAACAGTTTTTACAGATCCATTGAAAACCCTTTTGGCATTTCAAGGATAATAACGCTTCAGGTGCTCCGCGTTCCACGGGTGCGCGAGGACGTTTCCTTTCAGATCGGCCAATACGTATGTCCCAGGTCGGACTACGCCCTTGACCTCAAACGGGCCCTCCCAGGTCGGATCAAGGGCACCCACATGGGTTTGGACCCTCCTTAAGACCAGATGTCCGACCTGAAAGGTCCGAGGTCGAACGCGGGCGTTGTAATGTCTGGCCATTCTGCCCATATATTCCGCCAGGCGTAGCTGGGCCATTGCTCTTCTTTCTTCCAACAAGTCGAGGTTGAGGAGCAGCTCTTCCTCATTTGCCGTAGGCTCGTAATGCTCTACTCTGTCAGATGGCATGCCSATCTCAACCGGGACTACAGCTTCGGAGCCGAAGGCCAGGGAGAACGGGGTCTCACCCGTCGATTCTCTTTGGGTGGTCCGGTACGACCATAGAACCTCTGGTAGCTCCTCGGCCCACCTGCCTTTCTTGGAGTCCAATCTAAGTTTGATGCCACGCTTGATGATCTT